TTTTTTTTTTGGTTTTTCGAGACAGGGTTTATCTGTGTAGCTTTGCGCCTTTTCCTGGAACTCACTTGGTAGCCCAGGCTGGCCTCGAACTCACAGAGATCCGCCTGGCTCTGCCTCCCGAGTGCTGGGATTAAAGGCGTGCGCCACCACCGCCCGGCAATCTTCAAACATTTTAAACATTTATTTTGTTTGTGTGTGTGTGTGCGTGTATGTGCGTGAGGTGTGCATGGAGGTGCGTAGGTTCACCACAGTGCGTGGGTGCTGGGTGTGGCCCTCTCATGCTCCCGTAAACACGCCAGGTCATTAGCCTCAGTGGCAAGCACCTTTACCTGCTGAGCGGTGTCGCCAGCTCAGATCCTATCTTTAACTGTTGAAGCAACTTTAGCATGACGAACTGCTTCTAAGTGGGTAGAACTATAATGAGGGCCCTTCTTTTGCTGACTTCTCTACAGTAGTTCTTCAGAACAATGTTGATGTGGCCACAAAGAAATCTGGAGACTACAACAGTCACAGACTTAAAATGAAGAATTAAAAGCCACAGAAACACAAACTCCCTCTCAGGAGTTACTTAACAAAGCTATTTTTGAAATAAGCTACGTATCTTTTCTACTAACCCATTATAAAATTGGGAACATGCTGGGCGGTGGTGGCGCTCGCCTTTAATCCCAGCACTCGGGAGGCAGAGCCAGGCGGATCTCTGTGAGTTCGAGGCCAGCCTGGGCTACCAAGTGAGTTCCAGGAAAGGCGCAAAGCTACACAGAGAAACCCTGTCTCGAAAAACCAAAAAAAAAAAAAAAAAAAAAAAAAAAACAACTGGGAACAGGCAGACCGCTCAGCATAAAGTCACGCTTGCCAGGATTGCTACAATGTTGCTGTCGCAGGCTGTACTTTTTATGACGCGCTGACTGTTGTTACCAAGACAAATGGGGTTTGCCCATTTCAGACTGCAGACATGCGCACCACAAGTCTTACCTCTCTGCGGATTATAAAACAGACACAGCACCCGAAGAACGAATTTCTTCCCTAACCCCAGACCCCTCCGAGTCCACAGTGGGGTGGAGTAATGAGGTCACTTGGCAAACAATTTTGTTAATTTATTTATTTGCCTACATTAGAAAAGCAGTCTTTCTGATGTAGGTGAGCCAGTGTTTGGAAATCGCATCATGTAAACCAGGAACCCCAAGAGTTTGGTTAAAACGGGCTTCCATCTGTAAAACACACCAAATAAATTCATATTAGCCCATGTGGGCTAACCAGCAGACTTCCACAGCCATACAAGGAGTCCGGAAGCATCTCTACTCTGAACTGGCCAGTCCACACTTATATGGCTCAGAGATACAGCCTGTGTTTAGTATGCCCAAAGCCCAAGATTTGGTCTGCAGCATCATGGGAAAATTAAAACAAAACTATACTCCACTGTTTACAAAGTTTTGAGAACATCATCCACCTTTACCACGTCTGCAGCACCGTGGCACCGCTGATGTCTGTATCATTTAAACAGGGGCTGGTTGGGACTCACCACAGTGCCAACCCACAGGCAGGATATGGTCTGTAGCTGTACAAACAGATCTGACCCAACCAGCAAAGTGAAAAGGTGAGGAACTGACCGTGGCTTCAATTCATGAGAAAAGCTATCAACCATCTGCATAACTGTGTGCAAGTCAGTAGTTGTGGTCTTTGGAACACACCTTTCCTATGTATATATTATTTTTCAGTTTTATCTAAGTCATGAATGCTTACCTCTCTTCCCAACACACTCTCTTTAATGTCTCATATGTTGATATCTGGTCCTGCCTTTGAATACGATACTGCTAAAGGACAGGCTGGGGACATGCGTCTGAAACCCTAAACAAGCCGGTACCTGGTACTGTCAATAAACAAGGCCAGGAAGAGGTAGAGGGATGCTGTTACCAGGAGAGAGCAGGTAAAATGATACAGAGCAAGATGGAGACGCAGAAATCACAAACAGGCCAAGCCCAAAGCATCTGTCACGAGGAGAAAGAACAAACACTGAGCAGGCGTGGACTCGTTTGGGTATCTGCAGCGGCCATTGCCCTGTCATCTACTGTTCCTTCTCTTTATTTACACTGTTCCATATCTCACCTGTCAGAATTGCTGCTCTTGAATCTCCCATTGCCTTTGATACTTTGACATAAATAGGTGTTTATTAGAGAATATTTATTAAATGAACAAGTCAAATACAGCAATATCCAATTGAAGAACCCTTGGCTCTCAGTTCTCGTCTTCAAAGTGACATCACAGCACTAAAGGAGGTGTCTTTCTAAGGGCCCACTGGCAGTGGAAGCCATTCCAGCCCTGCCCCAAGCAAACAGTGCTGGGCTCTTCTTTCCCAGGGGCTATAAAACAGGTCTCGAGTTCTTGAAAGCACCTGAGCAGAACAGCTGACCAGGTGCCCAAAAGCACAGTGCCCAGCCCAGTACTCAGATAAGGTCACTAATAAGGTCAGGTTAGCACACGTCCATGAACCGTAAACCGTTTAGTTTCAAGATCTTAACTGGCTCTGTGATGCTCGAATCACGCAACACTACATGAAACAGGAGCTCCGATGAGCTGCAGAGTGAAGCTGGTTTTATACTCAGAAAAGGGCTGCAAAAAGTATGAAGAACGAAAAGGGGGTTTGCTACCTCAAAGCCAACTCCCTTGAGGTGCGTGGGAGTGCACTGCTATGGCACAGTGCTTGGCTGGTGTGTGCGAGGCCCGGAGTTCAGTTCCCAGAACCACAGAAACAAAACAAGAACCAGGGCTGGAGACGGCTCGGTGGCTGAGAGCACTGGCTGCTTTTCCAGGGGACTCCGATTTAATTCTCAGCACCCACTCATCTGCTCACGACTGTCTAACTCCGGTTCCAGGGGCTCCAATGTCCTCTCTGGGCCCTGCAGACACTGTATTTACATAATGCACAGACATACATGCAGGCAAAACACCCACACACATAAAATTAAACAAACAAAACCCCAGAAAACAAAGACAAAAACCCGACCTTCTATGTGAGATGGAGACAAAATACCTTGGGTTATTTCAAGTAATTTGCTTTTGTAAAGATTAAAGCAGAGGAAATCTCATTAATAGACCTATTAAAATTGGTCTATTGGGGGAATTATTCTCATTGTTACCTTTTATTTCTGAAAGGCTAAATAACTTAGTCTTGATTTGTTACCTTTGGGGCCGGAATAACTTTTAGGCTGATCTGCTGGGACCCTGTGCAGGAGCTCAGCCCAGAGCAGTAGCCTCCTACAATTTGTAGGCAACAAATCATCTAATAAACATTTAGTGAGATACCATTTTTGGGCCAAGCACTGTGCTGGATGTTACAGGATGAGCAGAAAGAACCTTGCCCTCAGGGCTCTCTGCCTATGGGAAAGACAAAAATAATCTACTCAGTGAGTTCAAGGACAGCCTGAAGAATGAAGAAAAATTAGACAAGCAAAATCCAAAGAACTCTAGGCAGAGTGTGGTCAAGAATTCCGCTTCTGGGGTTGGGGATTTAGCTCAGTGATAGAGCTCTTGCCTAGCAAGTGCAAGGTCCTGGGTTCAGTCCTCAGCTCCAGAGAAAAAAAAAAAAAAAAAAAAAAAAAGAATTCTGCTTCAGAGGCTGGGCGGTGGTGGCACACGCCTTTAATCCCAGTACTCTGGGAGGCAGAGGCAGGAGGATCTCTGTGAGTTCGAGGCCTGCCAGGGCTACAGAGTAAGTTCCAGGGAAAGGTGCAAAGCTGCACAGAGAAACTCTGTCTCAAAAAACCAAAATCCAAAAAAAAAAAAAAAAGAATTCTGCTTCAATCGACTATGGTGGTGGACGCCTATAATCCCAACACTACAGAAGTTTGGGGCCAGCCTAGAGAAACAATTAAAGAAAATTTGGCCTAAAGTTTCTTTCCCCAGAGTTAGATTTCATTTTCCTTTATAGGTTTATTGGGTGTGGCCTCCTTATTCACACAGACCCACTGAATTCCCATCTGGTACAAGAAACACTGAATGTCATAGGCAATTAAAATGATCAGTTAGCATTTCTAGCACTACATTGATTATTATCTATTCATAGAGAAGTTTGTAAACACGTAGGAATTATTTACTCCACACCAATAACATCAGCCCATGATCTGTCAGCCCATGCATCTTTGGCTGTGACATCCATTCTATTGTACAGAACTAACCAGCTCTGCCCTGACAGACTGCTCCCAACATTTAAAGTCAAATACATAGGGGGCTGGAGAGACGGCTCAGTGGGTAAAGAGCTTGCATTGCTCTTCCGGAGGATCTGAGTGAGGTCCCCAACACCCACATCAACCTGTCCCTCCAGCTCCAGATCTGACACCCAGGCCTCCACAGGCATTTGAATTCAGGTGCACTTACCCACAAACAACACCACATACACATAACTAAATTCATAGTCTTTTTGAAAAATCAAATTTGTATTTAATTTTTTGACAAGTCATTATAGCTTAAAAATACTACTTTATGAACTGGCCACGGTGGCACATATTTTTAATCACAGGACTCAGGAAGCTGAGGCAGGAGGATCAAGAGTTCAAAGTCAGCTTGGGCTACACATCAAGACCCTGACTCAAACAAAATAAAACAAAAAACCTATGTTATAGTTAAAAACTATACTTTTGTTTTTGTTTTTGTTTTTTTGGTTTTTCGAGACAGGGTTTCTCTGTGTAGCTTTGCGCCTTTCCTGGACTTTTAAAGTAAAGAGCTACAACAAAATCTTTAAAATTCTTTTCAGAGCTGGGGCTGTGGCTTAGTGTGTGCCCAGACTTGGAAATCATGCCTGAGGCCCTGTGTGCCATCCCCATCCTGGAATCCCCAAACGATTTTTCAAGTACACCCCCTCCCCAGACAACCTACTTTAACCTTACACCACCCAGAGCTGACTTCCCTCCAGTATAACGCTGCAGAAACTCCCGCTGCCGGCGACCCGCTCCCAAGCAGCTCATCCTGGATCCCAACACCCCCCAGTATTAGGAAACTCACGATACCTGCTGCTCCAACACTGGACCTTTCTGGCTTCACAGTTCCATGAAAGCTGAGACCTGCCTTGGCTAGAAAGTTCCAGTTCTATTTTTTCCCCCAATTTCTAATTAAATAGAACCCAGACAATTCTTTTTCAGTGCAGTGAAAAAAATCAATGAAATCATTCCATGTTCCAGCAAGGAAGTTGCCTCAGCAACTCTAACACTGCCCAAAGAATGTCCCATCCAGGAAAGAAAGCTTTGGCTCCACCCATCCAGTCAGGAGCGCTGGCAAGCAGGTAGACTGAAAATGTTTGCCTTCAGTAGTTACGGTGGACTGACAAAACCATTCTTTACCGTTTCTTAGTGATTAAATGTCACCTCAACAACCAAAACAAACTCCAGAGTGACTTGCGGTGTGATCATGTTATTTCTGCCCCATAGTGCCTGGCAGCATGCTCTACTCCTCCCTTAGGAACCTAGGCTAGGAGGCAAGACAAAGTCACTTCCACAGAGACGAGAGATAAGTAAACAGATTTGAACACGCCAACTCAGTTACTTAGAATATATCCACGATGTTGCTTTTAGACCTCAAGCTTTGTAAACTTGTGTTTTATTTTTCTGCTCAGATTCAAAAGCATCTAGAGCAGTAGTTCTCAAGCCTTCCTAACGCTGTGACCCTTTAATACAGCTCCTCATGTGGTGGAGACTCCCCAACCATAAAATGTTCCTTGCTACTTCATAACTGTAATTTTGCTGTTATGAATCATAATGTAAATATCGTGTGTTTTCCAATGGTCTTAGGTGACCCCTGTGGAAGGGTCATTCAGCACACACCCCCAACCCCGCCACCCCCTGTCACGACCCACAGGTTGAGAACTGCTGATTTAGAGTTTTCCCTAAATGCCAACCCTCTGCTGGGTGCTGTACTTCTTACAGCAACCTAATGAGGCAGGACTGGAAGGCCCCTTATAGGGAAAACCGAGGCTCTACGGAATCCTTGCCTTGTACAGACGTCAACAGTGGAGACTGACTTTGAAGTCTTTTCATTGTGAAATTCTAAGTGTTTTTCTATCATACTATACTTTTGAGACAATCCTCAATTCTTATTTGAAACAGTCAAGTATTTCTAAATGGCTAAAATTTTTGTATGGTGATTTGTTTTAGCAATACATTTTTCTTTTTTATTCCGTGCTGGGAGTTGAGCCCAGGCCAAACCCATGACCAGTTAGTAAAAATCCAGCCCTATTTCCACACAAAATGACTTTATTGGTAAATGAAGAATGTTCAGCCAGTTTCCTAAGCACTCAGGAAACAAAGGCAGAGAAAGAAAAGGGCTGTGTTGCGGCCCTGGTTGGGACTTTTTCCCTTCTTTCTAAATTGAAATGACAGAGCACATATTCTCCAGGAGGAAGGTGGAGCTAGCTGCTAAGGTAGCAGGATGGAGTTGGACGTAAGTTAGATGCACTGGAGAGAGCTTCTGCTCAGCTGCAGACGCTCTCCACAGTCCCTATAGCTAACTACCCGTGGTCCTGTAACCCGGCACTCCACACCATGAGAACCAGTCACAGGTTTCCTCTTCCCCAGAAGGTCCACAGTTAACCTATTTCTGTTATGCACACCTTTCGATGCTTCCGAGGAAAACAGATTGTCCTTAAAAATTGCTTTTCTGGGCTGGAGAGATGGCTCAGCGGTTAGGAACACTGGCTGTTCTTCCAGAGGTCCTGAGTTCAATTCCCAGCAACCACATGGTGGCTCACAACCATCTGTAATGAGATCTGGTGCCCTCTTCTGGCCTGCAGGGATATGTGCAGACAGAACACTGTATACATAATAAATAAATAAATAAATCTTTAAAAAAATTTTTTTTTTAAAAATTGCTTTTCTTAGGTGGGGCATGGTGACACACACCTTTAATCCCAGCTTTCAGGAGGCAGAGGCAGGTAGATGCCAGGGCTACCTACTGAGACCCTGTCTCAAATGTATATGTAAAATAAACAAACTGCCCTCTATGGCCAGGCATGGCTGCACATGCCTATGACTGTAACATGTGGGAGGTGTAGACAGGAGGAGCAGTTTGAGATCAATAACTATAAAGTGAGTCCAGGGACAGCCTGGCCTACTGTCCCAAAAAATGAGAGCCAGGTGGTGGTGGCACATGCCTTTAAGCCCAGCATTTGGGAGGCAGAGGATTTCTGTGAGTTTGAGGCTAGCCTAGTATACAAATTAAGTTCCAGGACGGTCAGGCCTGCACAGAAGGACCCTGTCCTAAAAAAAAAGAAAGAAAGAAAGAAAGAAAGAAAGAAAGAAAGAAAGAAAGAAAGAAAGAAAGAAAGGAAGAAAGGAAGAAAGAAAGAAGGAAAGAGAAAACAATTGCTTCTTTTGCTTGCTTTGAAGCAGCTCTTTGGGCTCCTGATCTCCAGTGTTTACACACTCAGAACGCATAGTCCCCATCCCCTGGGAATTCAGGTAAATACACACTCCAGTTGACCCTTTGGAATTGGCCCATTTCTTATACCTCCTCCCTAATTCCAAGTTTTTCCCTTTATTATAGCTTTTTGTCTAGTTTCAGTTGATGACATCAATTTTCTAGTTGTCCCAGAAGATAAAAAGATAAGTGTTCCAAAGATATGTACTAATTTCCATAGGCTTCTAGAAAGACAAAAAGTGTAAATTTATTGTAAAACATGTATACAACAAAGAAATCCATTGTGACATCACTGATTTTAAAGTATAAAAAAAAGACACCACATTTACCTAATTCATTTTCTCTTGTGGATAAAGTTAATTAAATGCCTAACTTCTTATAAAATCCCATTATCTTCTTGGGTCCTAGACACCCACATTGTCATATACTAATGAAAATCACAAACAAAAACCCAGGAAATGGTACAAAAGAGTAAGATAAACCCAGTTACTGGTGTTGAAAAGGAAAGCAGATTTGGAAAAGAGAATGGGAATAGAAGATGAAGAAAGCTGAATTAATGTCTTCAAAAATTAATCAATTATGCATTACTTTTTATAGCTGTCACATCAAAGCCTAGTTAAAGGCATTTTCACAAAATTGAAGAATTATTGTGTTTTTCCTTTTCCAAACAAGAATACTGCTGAGATTTAAAAAAAGGTAAGATGGCCATTCCAGGGACGTTAAAGGACTCTCATTTCGTATTGATCCTAAGTGACACTGTGGAATGGCACTCGGAGTTCAGATTCAACTTGATTTGAATGAGTGTCCACTCAGTAGCCTTCTTCAGTTTACCTCAAGGAGTTGCTTCCTTGGTTAATAGCAACAACAAAAAGCAGCCACTTCCTAGTCTGGGGTTCTTGGTAGGTCATTAGCCATTATTCTGAAAATACACAACTTCACATTGTATAGAGGCCAGAAACATAACTCAAAAGTTCCCGAAAGTATATTAAATAAAAACCACTTAGACACGTAAGCTCTCACTGGTGAGGTTCATTTAAGGTGACGTGTGCTATTGCCGTCACTGTTCCCACTGGATGTCGTCTCTTCTCAGTTTCACCTGGAGATTGTGAACCTGGACTGGATGAACGCTGCTGTTTTTCTGAAAAGGGTTAGTTTCATTCAAACATTTCCTAGGACTATTTTTCTTTGGTCCTTTAGGGTTGCCAGCCTCCCAATGGATAGAAGGGTCATTTATCCTTGAGCTCTGAACTTTTTGCTGCAGTTTACGGACCTGTAGAGAAAAGAAAATCTAATGTTTTAGGTAAAAATCAATATAAATATACTCTAAAACAGATGACTAGATTGGAGGATTTAAGATTCCGTCAAAGGTTTCAACTCAGCAAGTTCCTCGTGACCACAGCAGACAGCACTGCTCAGCAGTCGGCTAACACTCAAAGGCCCTGGCTTCAGGGAGCTGTGGCTCCGGTGAGTGAGAGGAAGCCAGAGGTGACGACAGGGAACAGCTGAGCTGGCACAACTCTGAAGACTGCGTGCATGTGAGAAGGTCAGAGCGGGAAGATGGGGTGGGCAGGACGAGGAGCAAAAGGCTCCTGGTGGGAACTAGGGCTCCAAGAGAGTGGGGATTTTTTAGGTGATATTAACAGCAAAGTAAAGAATTGGTGCTAGGAACAAGTGTTTACTTGCCTAGGAGGCAATTTTTAATTAAAGATTAAATTTATCATAATAAAAGCCTTGAACACTTATTCAAATTATAAAATGTATAGAGATTGGGTAAGTCTAAAAATCGTGATTATTCTTCTATCTCAAGTTTCCTCTATGTAATTCCGAGAATGGGAACAAATTGTATAGTCTTTGCCCCAGCACAATCATATTTTTTTTAAGCCAGTAAAATGAAAATACATTTTTCTTTCTTGGCTATAAGTATAATGAACATAGTAATATGCTCTGGAATAATCCTTCTGTACACTGTGAATATGTATTATTCTCAATGGTTAATAAAAAAGTGAGAGGCCAGTAGCCAGGCAGGAAGTTAGTAAAAGCCAAACTGAGAATGATGGAAAAGAGGGCGGAGCCAGGGAGACGCCAGCCAGCCACCCAGGAAGCAAGACATGCTAGAGGACATGTAAAGCCATGAGCCAACATAGATTAATAGAAATGGGTTAATTTAAATGTAAGAGGTAGTAACAGGCCTGAGCTATTGACCAAGCATTTATAAATAATATTAATATTAAGCCTCTGTGTGGTTATTTAAGCAGTACTGGCATGGGGAGTAGGCAGTCAGGACAGGAAAACTTTTGACTACAGTAATATTCAGAGTTTTTACAAATCACTGTCTTATAGAAGTATGTGTGTGTGGCAGCATCGGCTTGTCTGGATGCTGACCCTCCCCAGGCAGAGAGCTGCTTGAAGTACATGATATGATGTGAGGTTTCCTGGAAGGACTCCCTTCTGTCAGCAATGTCAGAGTGTTCTAAGTTCAGCTATGGATGGAGTCATTGTCTTAGAGTAAAACATTATACCCAGGATCCTTCTGTTAAAATATTGACGGTTATGCCATTCTTAGTTACTGAAACATGAGTACAGAATGCCCCACTCCTGAATTCTACTAGCTGTAGGTTGCCATGGAACACAATGCAGCCCAGCTTGTGTCAGGGGAAGGGAGAGAATGGCTTCAGGATGGTGGTACCAGGGTCTGTATGGTGCCACATCTGTGGGCACAGAGGGGGAAGACAAGAGGAAAGAATGCTGGAAGGGTAACTGGAGGGACGCCAAGGCGACAGCCACTGTTCAATTTCCTCAAGGTCTGACCCACACCAACTCTTTTGCTCTTACTCTTGTCTGGAAGAACTGAAAAGGAGGACCAAGTCATTACAAGCAGTGACGGCTCTCTGTAAGAGGACCAAGTGACTCCTGTGTACCTTTTAGTACACCATACCCGCAGACTTCCAATGTGACACCAAATCCACAAGTACATTGCAGAATATTTAACTATGCAAAAATGTGTTGCATTAGTTTATGTTGCAGAACATTTGTTTGTAAAGATGTGTTGTACTTGTTTAACTATGTAAAGATGTGTTGCTGTTTTACCTTGCCTGCCTGAGGCACCTGATTGGTCTAATAAAAAGGTGAATGGCCAATAGCGAGGGAGGAGGTATAGGTGGGATTTCTGGGTAGGGAAAGTAAGTAGGAGGAGGAATTTAGGCTCTGAAAGAAAGAAAAAGAAACACCAGGGAGACGTCAGTGGCCAGACAGACAGACATGGAGGAAGCAGGGAAGCAGGACATACAGAATGAAAGGAAGGTAAAAAGCCCCAAGGCGTGCCGGGCGGTGGTGGCGCACGCCTTTAATCCCAGCACTCGGGAGGCAGAGCCAGGTGAATCTCTGTGAGTTCGAGGCCAGCCTGGTCTACAGAGTGAGTTCCAGGAAAGGCACAAAGCTACACAGAGAAACCCTGTCTCGAAAAACCAAAAAAAAAAAAAAAAAAAAAAAAAAGCCCCAAGGCAAACTGTAGATGAACGGAAACAGGTTAAATTAAGTTAAAAGAGCTAGTGGGGCCGGGCGGTGGTGGCGCATGCCTTTAATCCCAGCACTCGGGAGGCAGAGCCAGGTGGATCTTTGTGAGTTCGAGGCCAGCCTGGTCTACAGAGCGAGATCCAGGAAAGGCGCAAAGCTACACAGAGAAACCCTGTCTCAAAAAACCAAAAAAAAAAAAAAAAAAAAAAAAAAAAAAAAAAAAAAAATAAGAGCTAGTGGGACAAATCTAAGCTAAGGCCAAGCATTCATAATTAATATTAAGTCTCCATGTCTTTATTTGGGAGCTGGTTGGCGGCCCAAAGAAAATTCCAAATATACATAGATTTCTAGTAGCTCTTTTTTTCTTTCCCACATTGTATGGCAATTGTTTTTGTGTCCTGAAGACCAGCAGTTCTAGAAGAGTAGTGTGTGTTTGTTTCTTTGTTAAAGAAAAGTATCCTTACACTGTCTTGATGCTTCTTGAGTTTGGAGATCTGGTCTCCTTTGCTTTCCATCTTCCTGACTAATTGCTCCAGCACATGCTCTGCGTCATCAGAGACTAAATGGCTTCCAGCTTGCAGCATCTGTTTCCGTAGTTCTTTGTGTTCCCTACAGAGAAAAACAAACCTCAGGGCTGGGGATGTAACTCAGTCAGCGAATGCTTCTCCACACATCAGGTCCTCTGTTCAACACTCAGCAATACAAATAAATAAGTAAACAAAACCACAAAAGTAGTATTGTCTGACATGACACATGGATTATTTCTGCTGATTAAAAACAGAGCAAATACAAGCCAGGTGGTGGCGCATACCTTTAATCCCAGCACTCAGGAGGCAGAGGCAGGAAGATCTCTGTAAGTTTGAGGCCAGCCTAGTCTACAGAGTGAGTTCTGGGACAGACTCCAAAAACTACACAGAGAAACCCTGTCTCGAAAAACTAAAAACAAACCCCAATAAACCAGAGCAAACATCAAATACTGTTATAGATCATCTGTTGGTCACATCTAATTTTTTGCTCAACTATGAGTTTTAGTTAAGAGTAAAGTATTAATCTTCAAAAATCGTCATTAGGATAAATAAATCATGATAACCATAATCATTTAGAACTATCTCAGTATCTAGCTGTTCAACAATCTAAAAAACAATCTAAATTCTTGGTGTTCTCAGCTAAAAAGAACGAACAGTTCTACAGGGCTTGGCCCGGGGCAACCCACGGTCCTCTTCGGTTCCATGTCTGGGACTGGAGATACTGTCAAGAGAACAGTCACGTGTGCAGCGGCAGTTCACGAGCTCGGCCAGTCTGCCACCTAAGTCACGTAGTTCTGATGTGTCTGTTGAAATGTATTTAAGCATGGGATATAACACAATGACTCTTGTGCAGATCTTCCTTACTGGGGATGCTTCCAAATTTGTAATGCAGACCAGGCAGGATCTAAAAGGAATGATATTCTTACTTGCCTAATGAAATAACCCACATAATTAAAAGATTTTAAAAGAAAAGTGTATTCTCCTTCTAAAAGCTCTTCTGAGTTCTAACCTAAAGTCTTCAGACTCGATACATTTGATTCACAGTATTTATCTATCAGTCTAAATCT